ACCGACGCTTTACTTACGCGCCAGATTACATCCGCCATTGCCGACCTTCTCTCGTCTTACCGAGATATCGAGACACTGAAGCGGGCTTTGGCGAGCCTCCACCAAGGGTATTAAAGGGGGGGGGGGGGGGGGGGGGGGGGGGGGGGAGAAGAACAGAATAAAATCTGAAATGGCAATAACCTGCCCCGCTATGATAATGATGAAGCGAAGTAGACGCTATGAATGGAAACAAAAACTGAAGGTCGGCTATGTTGGCGCCCATGCACAACAACTACAAAGCGTTTGTATACATCGACAGCGTATATATAGGCCGACACGCTGTTTCCAACCGAGCCCACACAAGTTCAGGGCAAACGCGCAGTTCCCACACGAAGTGTGTGCAGTGCGCGTGCGCAGGAACCGAATTCGCGTCTGCACATGCGCCCTGCCGATGACAGTGCCACCGCAGCACCCTGACGTCAAGGGCAGCGTGTTGGTCTACACGTAGACTCCTTTGTTTTTTTGGGTTTTATATTTTTTTTTAATTTGGGGGAGGCGGGGTTGGGGAGAAGGGGGGGGGGGGGGGGGTAGAAATCGGGCGGTTTGCTTAAAGGTAATAAAAACCCGAGACTCAGGAACACTGAAGGGGACGAACACAACACAACGTCTCAGTGCATGCATGAGACGTTGTGTTGTGTTCATCTCCTTCTGTGTTACTGAGTCTCGGGTTTTCATTAACATGAATCACCACCAGCTCGCTTGTTTTTTTAAATATTGTTGCCTTTTTGTTCCAAGATGGCAATTCAAGTGAATATGTTTTTTTCACGATCAAGTGATTAAAGTGCGCAATATTACATTGAAGCATTGTATAAACGCACTTAAGCTTTACAAGCAGTTGTTTTGTTTTTAATAATCCTCGTTGCTTGCATAATCATCTGCGTGCGCAGCATCTCTGCATGCATCCTAGTCCTGTCTTCTTTTTAACATATCGGAATCGGGAGAAGGTTGTCTCAACATCGCAGCTTACGCGTACATTTGTAATGTTCAATAATATCAATAGTTCGACTGAAACAAATCATCTTCTATTTCTTACGAAACAAAGTTTTCAGGAAAAATCCTCGTCCTCTCTCTGTACCGTTCCCTCTCTCCCTCTCTTTAAATCTGTCTAGGCGAGGGGAAGAAGGGCAAAGTATACTTCACAATAGACATAAAAGAGAAATTTTGGGGCTCCATCTATATCACTCTACCAACTCTCTGCTTCCTAGAAAATATTTCCGGATCATGATGGAATTCGTTTTCAAAATTCGAGAAAAAATCGTCTTTAACCTGATCTTGAAGAAACATGTTCCGGGTGTAAGTCCCGGAAAATATCGGGTTTTACCCAAAATCGAAGGACCGTGTACAGGATACCTGGCTTGCATTGACTAACCACATCAGCTGGCACTGCGGTGGCCTTATTGTTGAGCGCGTAGATTTGGCAACATACCTTTCTCCCCACCGATTTTTGTTTTGTTTGTGGGAATTATCAGGGGTTTTCCCAGGAATTGAAATTAGGGGGGGTGTCTAAATTTTTAAAGAGGTTAGGGGGCGGGGGGCATTGAGAATATAGGAGTCTTGAATTAAGGGCGTACCTTCGGAAAAAGAAGGGAGGGGGGGGGGGGGGGGGTGTGTAGGGAAATCATTGTACGCTGACGTCGCGTGCAAGCCATGTATGCAGGCATAAAACTTTTTAAAGAAAGGCTCCTGGCCAGTTTCATTTTCAGTGTTCGTATTTCCTGTGCATCGGCTGCAAGCTGCTCTAAGAAAGTTATGCCTAATATTTATATGTTGTGTGCAAAGATGTAAATCTAATTGATTGGTTGATTGAATATGTTAAAGAGGTACTCCGGCTATTTTTCGAGCTATCCCATATTTTTCTGAATCCCAGGCATTTACCCTTTCTTGTATGCTATTTAATATTGCGAAATTCCTAATAGTTATTGTGAAATCGGCAAATGAAAATGTTGCGAAAACCAACATTCCAATATACTCGCATTTTTCGGTGCCGTGACGTAAGTGGAAGGCAGGCTTGCCATTCGAGCAAACAGTCTAAAGAATAGACTATAGACGCTTTGCAGCAGCTGTGCATGGACGCCGCCATAACTGACCTTCAGTTTTTGTTTCCTCTTATTTCGTTTATTTCACTTCATCATTACCATAGCAGGCCAGTTTATTGCCATATTAGATTCAACTGTGTCCTTTTCTAACGCATCGGCCTTTGTAGAGGATCGTCAACTACCGTTTCAGTTTCTCGGCATCTCGGTAAGACAAGAGAAGGTCAGCAATGGCGGCTGTAATTTGGCGCGTGTGTAAAGCGTCTATAAGGAGTATTCACTGGGCGCCATATTTGTGGGCGCTGTCTAGAGCGCATGCTCAGAACGAGCCCTCCTTAATAGGCTGCTAAGACCGGCCATTTTGACGGTGTGGAATGCACGTTGCAAAAGAACCCTGGAAGCTCGCCATCAGCACGCGCTCAGCAGTCGCGCACACAGCTATGGCCGCCAGCGAATACTTCCTATACCAAGAATTTGTTCCGTGCTGGTGCGCGGGTGCCGGAGCGAGTGTCCAAAGCATTCAAGGGACACCACGAAACTGCTTGGAATCAGTTAGGAACAAATTTTACGCGCTAAAAAGTGAACTCCTGCCTGCCCCTGACGTAACTTCTTCGTTGTTTCCAGTACAGACTTTCAGTTCGAAAAACACGGTGAGGAACAAAATTCTTAATTAAAAAAAACTTCAGAAAAAATTATATCTACAGTATATCTAAAGATTTGTTTAAAAAAAGCCGTGGAAGTTACACTTATGCGGTTTGTGTAGGTGAGTAATACGGCCAGGGGCACATTAAAGGCCTGTTCACACATGCAGCGGAGCGCTACAAGCATAGCGCTTACCTCGCGCTAAGCGCGTGCTGACGGGAGCGTTCACCAGCTTTGTATCCCACCGTCAAAACTGTTGCTCATGGCAGATGATAAGTAGCTGTCGGCACGTGAGGAGCGCTACATCAGCGCTTCGCTGCATGTGAGAACCGGCCTTAAGTGGGTTGCTAATTTTTCCGATAAGTCGGATAATTAATTCAAGTTCGTTCATTAACTTTTTAATTTGTGAAAATATACACATGACTCCAATTAGAAACTTACTGGGCGCCATCGAAAACCACTATATCAGTCAATTTTAGAACGACTTGAAGCTCGCAGGGTCGCACCAGTTACCACTCGTGAAGCAGGCGCAAAGCTAGCAGTGGGAAAACGAGGATGTTTAGATTATCATCGCGTTCCGCCACTGCTAGCTTTGCGCCTGCTGCATGACTAGTAACTTTAGAGCGCCCCTGAGCTTCTCACGAGCTTCAAGTCGTTCTAAAATTGACTGATATAGTGGGTTTCGATGGCGTTCAGTAAGTTTATAATTGGAACCATACGTCTATTTTCACTAATTAAAAGGTTAATGAACGAATTTGAATTAATTAGCCGACTTATCGGAAAAAATAGCCACCCACTTAATGTCCCTCTGGCCATATAACTCATCTGCACAAACCGCGTAATTGTACCTTCCACGGCATTTTCTAAACAAATCAGTAAAGCTTAAAAAAAAAAAAAAAACGCTTTCTATATATATTGACCTAATATTTGTGATATTATTCCAGCAATGTTCGTTGGTGTGTTCAGTAAATTTTCATGCAAATCAAGGACCATGAAGAAATCGCCGGACCATCGTTTTAAAGCCAATTCAAAATCTCGGAGAGAGAGAAAAAAAAATGGAGGGGAGTTAAGGTAGATAGGCAATAAAGCAGCTGTCTTCTCTTTTACTTTATTAGGAAAGGAAGTGCAAAGGAAAACATAAACATACTTCAATATATGATGTTACGCTGCTTTCATTTTTTTTTTCTTGACGAATAATCTTACGATCAATAATGACTACAGCTGTTAGGACATTCACCAGTTACAAGTATATGGAACTGCAGCGTATCACAACTTCCAACAATAGGCCGTGACCACCGTGAAGTATAGGTCTTCTGAAGCACCGTCAAAGGCGTGCTATACGGGACTGCCAATATAAGGGAGTTGTAGTAAATGGTTTTTCTCCTCCGCTACGTTATCCCCGAAGAAAACGCGCGAGCTGCGCATGCGCGCTGCCAGCCTTCTCTACATAGTTCAACGTCTTGTGGCGCAGTTTCTTCCGATATCTCGCAGTTTCTTCCGATATCTCGTTCGGTGGTACTTGCTTAGCCTGCGGACGGGATACTGACGAACGTTTCTGCGCCATATCCTCTGACATACAGCATTGGGTGCTTGTGACCTCAGTATCGGAACAAGGGCATCACAGAAAGTGTTGTTCTACACATTTGCCGCCGTGACCAGGATGAGATGCCTTTTGTTGAAGGACCATTTTATTTTCCAGTCGTTCTCTTTGTTTTCGCCAAGTGCACACTCTGTGGCGTATCTCGGCGCGATCAGACCAAATTAGGTTTCAGTTGGTGCCTTTCTCCCGCCCAACATTTTTGCGTACATTTTATTTCGTTCTGGTGGCGAGGCAGCGAACTGTGTTTCTCTTCGATGAGATAGTCGAATGACCCGTTGAATCACTACTTATAATTTTTTTTTTTAAATGTTATTTGAAGTTGCAGGAGGCCCACCATCTGCATCACGAGGAAATAGTTTTTACAACGCCTAAGGGCAGTGTTTCCTATCCAGCAAAGTTGAGAGTACGCATAAGCACTTAATTAGAACACTAGAATATGTTATTTAGTTATATTCATGCATTCTTATCCCATCATGCTGTGTGCCCTTGTTGTCGTTATTTTATTTTTTAATTTTTTTACGCCGCGAAGTAAGGTTAGTGGCGGGCGCGTCGTCTGCTATTCTCCGTCGTCTGCTAGGGGAGCGAGCGGCGCGGTGGGTGGCGCCAACCCGCGCGTGCGTACTACCTCCGTCACGTGACGCCTCCAGCTGGCGGAAGCAGACAACAAACACGAACGAAGCCAAACAGATAAAGGCGGAAAGCGACGAAGTGACCTCATCAAAGCGATCCGCGCGACACGGGGCGGTGCCAGCGGCAAGATGGCGGCGGTGGCAGACGCCGCGCTCCCGTCGCCTCAAAATTCCGACGCCCTCGGCGATGTGCTCAAGATTTTGACGGAGGATCTGCCCGCAGCCGACCTGCAGTGGTCGCTGTTTGTGGCAGCGCTCAGGTCGTACCGCTACGACACCGTACTGCGTCCGTTTCCGGCAGACTTCGTCGACCGGAGTTGCGACACGAAGCATATCGACGAGCTTCGTGAAGTGGCCGCCAGAGTGCCCGCGCTCGCCACACTGTTGCTGGACGAGCCGAACCGCGCTCCGCCGGAATCGTTGCAGCTGCTCCGTTGGGTGCTCACCTCGGGAGGAGTGCGACTCCGGTCCCGAAGCAAGCAGGATATGCCCGAACTCCGGGGCTCGCACGTCGACCTGGTGTTTGAAGTGGAACACAGCGCGCAAACGGAACGGCGGTTCGCCTCGGCCCGCGGCGAGAGGGATGTCTTCTTCGCTTACCACGGATCCCGACTGGACAATTTCTATTCGATCCTCCACAATGGTCTCCTGGCGCATATGAACAAGAACTCGCTCTTTGGAGCTGGCACCTACCTGTCCAGCGAGTTGAGCGTGTCGTCGACGTTCAGCCCTGCTGGCTTCGGCTGGCAGCATTCCGTCATCAGTTCGGAATTTTCCCTAGTGGCCATGTGCGAACTCATCGATCATCCGGACGTCAAGTGCCAGGACAGGTCCAAGAGTCATCCTTCCAGGGCCTACGCTCAAGATTCCATCGGTGGCAAGGTTCCCGAGAAGTACTTCCTGGTCCAGAACAACTCTGTGGTTCGAGTGCGCTATCTCCTCGTGTACACTGCGGTGCATCCGCGATCCCCGTCCCCCGAAATCCTACCGGCTGGGAGGCCTGCGGAAACGTGCTGCGCCTTCAGCTGGCCAGAGTTCTTGCGGAAGAACAAGTCCTGGTTCATGATTGCCGCGTACGCCGCCTTGCTCTGTGGCATCGGATTGTCCAGTTCCCGGGTCGGCCACAAAATAATGCTCAAGTTCTTCTACCGGTAGTAGACGTCCTGGTTCGTTTTGGGTGGTGCGTCGGTCCTTTGATTGTTCCGAAAATTATGATGTCGTTGTGCCATTGGGGGAATTTGGTGGGAGATGGTATGGTCCGATATATTTTTGTATACCTACAGTCGCATGTGACTCGATCGCGTGATCGCCAGTATGTATATACTTACGCATGATCTCATACCATATTTGTGTTTGTTTTTTGCCAGCTGTTTCTGCGGTCATGCTGGTGATCCTTGTGGTCGCGTTACATTTGGACTTAAATCTCTTCCTGCAAAGTTCTCTCTCTCTCTTTTTTTTTTTGCGTGTGTGTGAATGTACGTGACGTGTTAAACGTCGTTAAAAGGTATAGACCTTTCCATCGCTTATCACCCGGGCTAAAAATGCTAAATCACTGAGCTGTGGACGCATGCGCAGTGTCTGATCTAGCGCACAGCGGAGCAACAGCGCATGCTCAGAAGGCGTTCCACAGCCCAGCAGGCAAAGATGGCAGCACGCAGAAGGCGATTTTTGGAAAGGTCTATAGGAGAGCTAGGAAGGCGAAGCAACAATCTCGGGTCTGCTTGTCGTCTGCTATTCCAGAAACAGAACCCTTTCAACTTCCATTAATATATATATATATATATATTTTTTTTTTTCACAAACGCAATGGAGTTTTTGTAATTCTTATAGCCTGCAAGGACATCCAGGCCGTCGTGTAGGATGTATAATTCAGAGTCCAGATTTAGCTCGGCGCCCCTCAGGCAGCAAGCAATCGAGCTGAAAGGACAGACGGAGACAAAATTGATCTCGAAAGACGCCGTGTTTGGCGTTGCCGTGGCAACGAAAAAGAGGAATAAAAGATAGGGCGCCCAGGCGTCAGTGTCTGACACTAGTTGGCCCTGGCGCCTTGTAATCGTGGATGTCGTCTGCTGCGTCCCAGGGAGAGGAAGACGACGAGAGATGGCAGTCGGAAGGTAAAGTTTCTGCTCGCTTTAATTGTTACTGATTTATGTCGAACATTTATGGCGTGCAAATCGGGTTGGAAACTCCATACTCGAGTGCAGTGTGTTCAGTCTGTACACAGCGTGATGTAGTACGCTTCTGTGCTGTCCCACTTGAAGGTGTCTACGCGCAACGTTCGTCCGCTATGGGACGGTTCTGAAGAAATCCGTCCGCTTTCCTGTCCAAGCAAGGGACGCTCGTTTTTGTTGGGGCAGCATATTTCAAGTTAAAGTATATTGGGGTTATTGGCAATAGATGATAAAAAACGTGAGGTTTGGTGTTTCCGGGGGATAGAGATAGATATAGCTGATTTATTAAAAGATGATGCGATCAACCGCGCACGCTGCGGCTGATTTTTTACCTTGATTTTCATGTTTTCAAAGTATTTAAAACCATTATCAGCTATTTCAACCTACCCAACTCACAGGAAAGCAAAAGCAATAACAAACCACCAACACACAAACAAAATGGTGGCGGGGTGCTTGCACTCACCAAACTTTTTCACATGACGCCAATCCGCCATATTGTTGTTACAGTGAGTGAGTGAAAACATGTTTTATTTATCGAAAGATACAAAAAAAAGGTGCAGTGAAACTAATAAGCGTTGCTGCACTACCGATTTGAGAGTGTTATGTGAATCTTCGGAATACCCGCCTTCAGCATATGCCAGACAGCTCATGACAACACAGTTGTGGACGAAATGTCTACAGTGAGTTACATGAGCGAGCTCCAGGTTTTCGGCGCCCCTGTCAAGCACGCGTGCTGGCACAGCGCAAGCATCGTTTAGGTGGGGCAACATGCCCGTGCTTGTAGCTTAGCGCCTGTTTGCGCATTCAGCAAAATCAAACACCAAGGAAACAAAAACAAAGACGAAAAAGTCAGTCGAATTTATTGAATAATTACTCGCGTGATATGTATATCGAGGATAAAAAGGAAGAATTAAACGGGCAAAAACAATGTCTGCAATTAAAAAAAAAAAAAAAAAAAGGAGGGGGGCTTGTAATTTGGAACAGTTACTTCAGGAATATATCTATGTCATAGTCAAGTTGAATGGTCTTAAATCAAGTCTATCTCCCCCTCCCTCCCACACACACACACACACACTTTTTTTGGTAGTGCTACTTTTCTCATTTTTGCACAAAAGTAGGGAGGAAACATGGTTACGATTTAACACTTGAAGCTCACGAGTCAGAACAGATTTAAAGCTGAAACTTGCTAAAAGCGCTGATTTGTTGTGCTCCCCAAACTCCTCTATTGCTCCATTCCGTTAGAGAAAGAAGCAAACCCCATTTTTCTTGTGGGAGTAGCTCACGCCTCAGACTCAAGCTTAAAGATAAGATCCGCGTCTTCCAAAACTTAAAAAAAAAAAAAAAAAAAAAAAAAAAAAAGAGAAGGACAGTGGGAGAGGGCTTTTTCGTGGCTCGAAAACGAATGAGTCATTTAACCGGCTGGAATGTCTTGCCCGGCGAAGATACCGACGGAGAGTCGAGTTTCACCAGCTTGTTCCCTTTTATAGCCGCAAGAATAAGACAAAAAAAAAAAAAAAAAAAAAAAGACTGCCAAAAGTGTTTGATTATACAGTGGTGGCGTGACGTTGCATACATCGCTTCTCAACTACCGTGAAAAAGCATAGAACGTGGAAATCTGTACATGAATATGACCTAATGAAGTAATTAGATGTCATTTTTTTTTTGGTTCGCACGTTAATTTCTGCTTAAAACGCTGTTCTTGGGTCGTTGAACTTTGTCGTCAATAGACATACAAGCAAACACAAATAGCGAGAGAGACGCAGTTCAATAAAGCACCTGCTTTACATCGTATTTTTTTGTTTATGGTGAGAATGATGTGACTTATTTACATCAAAATGAACAAATATTCGGTTACTGACGCTGCGATAATATGAATTACATAAGCCGACTCACTTATGCTCAAGCTTATGAATTGCTATCTTTTAAATAAGAACTGCACTATAGCTAACTTTAGTTTTCACACAAAACAAAGTACAAGGATACGTGCATTTCTTTTGGATAGAGATTGTCAGTTTCATCTCCATCGATAAGTGAAATATATTTCAGGTTTATACATATTTCTTTTATACACCCCAAAGCAAACATTCCACGGACATAATCCAAGACACGCAACATAATCCAAAATAGTCGCAGCTCCCAGAGGTCAGCTGCACCCTTGATTCGCTTTATCCCATAATCCGGCTTTGATGTAAGAAATCCGGCAATCCGAGCAAATCCGAAAACCTACGTGAGCGCGTCGTCTGCTCGAAGCAGACGAAGCAGTCGACGTCGGCGATGTACGTAGCTGTGCGCTAACATACGGAAGTGAAGTGGAGGAGAACTCTGCTAAAATACGACTGCGTGGACAGCGACCAAGAGGCTGGCCTTGAGTTGCCCGCGAATTTTATTTTTGTTTCCTGGTGCAGCCATTTTTGCTATTTGCTGGAGCCACAGCCGCTTCTTTTACCGCTCTCTCTCAGCCGTAACACCCGCGCGGCGTCTTTTTGTTATTAAGTAGACGTCCGTTGCTTGTTTTGTTGCCATTTTTGGGAGCCGTTCATCTTCGCACCCTTCAAAAGCAAACAGAAAACCGACAAAACCAGCTGCTCAAGGGCCATTGCGCACGCGCAGAAGCCGTAGCGCATGCGCAGTAGTGCTACTCTCCTTTCACTCCTCCAGATTTTTGGGACATTTTTGGCGCGACGCCGTCGCGAGATGGCGACTCCGTCCATTCAGAACTGTGTGTTTTTGATCTCTCTACTTGATTCGTAGAGTAGGGGCGAAGGAGATGGAAGGCGGAGAGTACGCATTTTCGTCTGCGTTGAAAAGCGCGTGTTTTCGCTGCCGGACCGCGCGTTTACTCACGAGTAATTAGTGTGGAATGAAAATCCCCGAATAACGAGCGCTGGGAAAGCGGCCTTCGCTGGCCGGAATATTGCGTTTTTGTTGTTTTTTGTCGCGTGTTCTGCGTCGTCGTGCTGTCCGCGGGACCGTGTCCCTCTCGTGTGGTGGGTGCATCAGCCAGCCGCTTGTGAGTGAAGCGAGTGCAGCTTCAGGATGCTGAAGATCTTCAACAGGTTTCGAGAGCCGCAGCCGGACCTTGATGCAGGTATACGACTGATGGTGAAAAAAATGCATCGTCCTTGCTCTTCTTTTATTCAGCGCGTGTATTTTTCATTTTATTTTTTGAAGGCCATCTTCCGTCTGATGTGCGTTATTGAGTGCGAGGGCGTGTTCTCCGCGCACGCTGGTTTTGTGATAGATAAACGGATAATTTTTGGCGGTTTTTTTTTTTTTTTTTTTTTTTTGTTCTGCGTAGACGACGTTGTTTAAAATGACGTTCCTCGGAACGCAATACGTATCCTCTCTGAAGCATAACGGGCGTTGACACATTGAAGTTTGGAATGGATGGGAATGATTTTTAATCGTCTGCTTGTTGACATATGACACCAGTTAGGCTGTATGTTTGTTTAATATATATTATTATTATTATTATTAGACTTACGGTACCGCGGCTGCTTTATATGGGGTATGCTGTAGATACGACGCCGTTGATACTGCGCAGCAATTAGTGTATATAGTGTGTCTCTCATACAAATTAATCAATTAAACCGCCTAATTAGGAGTAAGAGCGGAATGGCGTGTGCGTGCATGCAATGTGTCGAGAGTGTACTGTGGGCGGTGCATTCATCCCGTGCAATAGAATCATTTAGGCCGTAGTACATGTGGATGGCGAGGCTCTTTAACAAATAATAATAATAATAATAATTGTTTATTGCTACCAGCATAGAAAAGTTTGGCATTGCGGATGCATCAAAGCCAACACGTGGCTTGTGCGACGCCATCCTCCAATAAAAAAAACAAAAACGATATGTAGCATGGGTAGTTACTGAAGATACAATATAAAACAGGCAAAAAAGACAAATGTAAACATAATTTCATGAAGTTAGTCACGCTGGTTATAACTTGAAGATTTTACGCGAAAAGATATTATGCACAGACTAAAACGGAAATCAATAGCATTGTCAAAGCAAAATGAAATAATAATAAAAAAAATAATAATAATGTTGTGTGTATGTTTATACAGCCGGAAGTTAGACAGCCTCAATAGGTTTCTGCATGGTGTCCCGTCTGTAGATGAGCAATTTAGCCATTGCAGTACAACCGCTAACCTGGGGTCTTTTACGTGCACCACGCAGTAGTGATACACGACCGCACGCCGGTACGATGCTCATCCAGATCGAAACGGGCAGGGGTGAGGATTGACTTTTCCGGAAAATCCCAGGAGACCTCGCGGCAAGGGAATTATGGGGTTGTTCAGATGTACGCTCGGGTCGACTCTAACAGTTCGTATATCCTAAAAAACGGCACGATTCATTCTTGCATGTCAATGGGAGTTTAGAACACACAAACAATAAAGCAAATACAATAGGAGGTCATCACATACTGTTTGGTTTTCCTTCTGCCTTCTCTAGATTCTGAAATCATAAAAAGCCAAACCATCGTCCACTTCTTCTATACCGGGATAATCTCACGTGCCGTACATCGAAACGTTACATACAGTGCATTAAGCAGACGTTAAGGGCGCCACATATTTCTGCAAAGGTCTATTTGACCAAGGATCTTGGGTTCGCTCTTGGGTTTGCATACATTCGCTCCACGTGCTCCGAGCTGGTGTGCACTGGGCTCTTTAACATGTAACTTAAAAATGACAGTGACTCCTAACCGGTACCCTAAATTACAAAACATTTTCAAAGTATTATGTTACTGTTGCGAAATTCACATTAATAAAAGAGTATCATATGATTGGTAAATGAGCCACAGGTGCACGATTACTCGCTTCATTTCGATTACAGAATGAAATTCTGTGATTAGTGGGGAATAAGTCATTCAGTGAATTTGTATTATATTTAATACACATTCTCCATGTTCAAATACACCATCTCATGTATATCATCGATTGAACACGTCATTTAATGCTAAAATTCCCCAGGAAAAGTTATGTAGATTGTCTCAAACTGCAGCATCCGTTTTCTTTAGTCCTTTTCTTTTCATACGGACCGGCAAATATTTGCTCCTCTCAGACTGAAATACAAATTTGAGTCGTGCATTCCACGACTGATGTCGGCGAGTTCATTGGGTTCAATTTTTTGCACTTCTCGACTTTCCTTTCTTTTTCTTCTTTTCTTTAGTTTAATTTGGAGGGTCAGTTTCCTCGAAGAACACACCACTCGCACCGCTGCTTGCTTCTGTGACTTCGATTCTTTCCGCTTGCGCATTTCGCTCACGCAACACACCGGGTACCTACGAGGAAATCCGTTTGCGTGCGTCCATGCCCTTCCGTTGGAAGGAAGCCGCCGTCGCCCTCCGCTTTTCTTCAGTTCAAAATGAAGAACCGCCAAGTCGGCAGTGTAACCCTGCAAGTAGGGCGAACTTGGTTGCACTCTAGCGCTGCTTTATATTGCACTAGGTTGCACTGCAGCGTTGCACTAGGTTTGCTCTAGGTTGCACTAGGTTGCACTGCTGATGGTAGTGTGATCAGAAGGCACCCGCCAACACGACGATCTGTAAAACAAACCTTGAAGGAGCGCACGAAAGAACTCCAAGGTTGGACGCGCTAAAGATACGGTTGAATGCACGGTGATGAAGAACTAGGAATTTATTCACTGTCCATATAGAGAACTATCGGTGGTTTTAAAGCTCACTTTTGATCACTGGAATGGTGCAGACTGGAACGGGTATACCCTCAAAGCATGATACTGGACTGCTCTCTGAGTACAGCTTGAGCGTGCACAAAATAAATATATTTTAGCATCATATGAAAAAGAGTAAAAAACAGAGCTTTTAATGTGTATGGAAGTAAGCACTTTTTAATAACGCTTTTTAGTGAAACCGAGACTGGATCTCGGATGTTCCATAGTAGGTTTTCCTTACGGTTCCCTGTGAAACGTTATGTTAAAAAAAACAAGCAAGTAAATTGCTTAATGTTGCAGCCCGAACAGTAAATACAATGCGTGCTCCAAGTTTAGAAACAGTTTTTTTTTCTTCTTTTTTTTTTTATGGTGCGGTACATTATTTAATAAACGAGAAAAAAAGACAACTTAATTAGGAGTAAAGCAGGAATTGCACTGGCGGAAATTAACGTAGTTTTCAAGATTTTTACCCCCCCCCCCCCCCCCCCCCTTTTATAATGTTGTCAAAAATGGAAAAATAAATGAGCTCTCCGAACTAAAAGCACTATCGCGGAGCACTGTCCAATTGTTTTGAATCTGCCAATCAACCTCGCCATAGTGTAAGAACAGAAAACTTTTTCTCATCGGAGCCGTTCTACCAGCGGTAAAGTTGTGGAACACATGTGCGAAAAACAAACCCCGAAAATCACGGGCAAATCGGAGCATAAGATAATATTTCTGCACCATTGCCTTCTAGAAACAAACCACGCGTGGATTTTTTTTCTGATAGTTTAAGTACACTTTTAATGAAATAATGTTTTAGATTTCAAACAATAAATATACACTCTTTTTTTTTTTAAGTTCACGCGGAACGTTTTTATTTTTTCAATTCCTTTACGATTGTCGGTTGATTTTTCGCAGATGTTTTCCGGCCTAGACTCAAACTTTTAGCGAAGCCGAAGGCCACGAAACAAACACCTGCGGTAAAACACGAAACCAGTAAACAAAGAAATCGCTCCCAAATTCGGAACACGCGAAAATAGTTCGGCACCCTTTGTTTTAGTAACCAAACCACGCGTGGGTTACTCATCGTACGGGAACCGCGAACACCGGATTAACGAAGCCACATTTGCTATTCTTGGGGTTGCGAATAATACTCTCGTTTTTAATAACTTTGTGGAACGACTTTTGTATGTTCCGATATTCGTGCGTTTGTCGGGTGCACATGTGTTGTTCCACGCTTGAATCACATACTCAATAAAATATACGCTAAACCTAAAAACAAAAAAAGAGCGATATCTAGCGAATCATTTTGAGATAGCACAACGTACCGTTCATAAAAAGCTCGTCACCGCTTATCACCGAGGATAACATTCCTTAGTCAGTGGTCTTCGGACGCGTAACATTCTGCGGGGGACGCTTACCGCGCACGCCCAGAATACGTTTCGCGAGGGTGTCTTTTAGCGAAAGATGTTTTAGCGAACGAAGTCCCGCCCCGAGTTTTCACTGAAAGGCACTTCAGCGAATTCGGCCGCCTGGAAGCAACGTGTGCGGGTGGGCCAGGTGGGTTAACAATTTTGCAATGAGTTGCCACAGACTGTCGCCGCGAGCGTCTATAGGTTAACTTGTGCCCCATGATACACGTCATTCGCAAAAACGTCGATTCGCTCAAATGATTGCAGTTCGTTAAAACGTCATTCGCTTATGTGGTCTGTACCACCGCTTAGTGCGGGTGAACAAATGTCTCGCGACAGTGGAGTTAGGAGCTGCAAGTCTCGTTGTTGGGCTGGTTGGTGCATGACGCTCAGAAAACTCGTAAGCGGAGAGACTGACAAACATAAGGGGACACGGAGATGAGTTTGCCAACGTCCTCTTCGTCGTGTCCGTTTCTGCGCGTACGAATTTCCCCGGCATTTCGGTTTCAGAATTTAACCTCGCCCCGTACTTAATTTGTTTTTGCTCGTTGGAATGTCTCCCTGTATAAACACGAGCACATTTTTGTTTTTTTGTTGTTGTCGGAAGCCCGTAAATGAAGGAATCATCTGTGCTCCTCCGCCCAAGGCCAAGATATTGACTTGGCCTACCCTCGCCCGTCTCTCTCTCTCTCTCTCTCGAGGCTGGGCGTTCTCTTTTCTGGAGCCGTGCCAGACAAGATTGGTCTCGCCTCGTTTTCTTTTTTTTGAAGGCGCGACGAATGCTGGCGTGCACATGCTGAGAGGCCGTGCCTCTGGACGATCAACTTGGCGCGTCCCCCGAAACAGCTGACGAGATGTAAGCGTCGATGTCACCTTTAGCATTTGCACTGCCATAGCCTCCTATAATACTGACAAAGCCTGGCAGATGGCCACAGGAAGCGGCCGCCGGAATGGAAACGGTGAAGCGGCAGACCACGGATGAGAGGAGAGCCACGTGACTGGCGCCCCGCTGCGGCGAGACG